AACTTGTTTTCTGCCTCTATTGTAATTAGAAAAGGAGTTTTTCCCTACCTCCTCTGTAGTCTCAATATTGATCTACACCAGTTGCAAGAGGAGATAAATAACAATGATATAAGGAAAGGAATTAATTGCTCTTTTATCTAAGAACTATGTTCAAGATAAATTCTTTTCTTTTTGATGATCGTGGTGTTCGGGCCAGCTTTCGCGCACCTCGATTAATTCCATGGGATACTCACCACCTCCCCACCAACAATAGGTATTAGGTAACTCTGTCCACCAAGGATAGGACAGATGGGAAGAATCACCTAGTGTTTTTTGCCTCTGCTGAGAATTGAACCCGAGACCTCATGGTTCTCAACTACTTCATTGACCACTAGGCCACACCCTTGCCAGGATAATTTCTTTTCTACTATGGTAAATGAGATATTTTGTTTTATTTGTGTTTTGATGTAAGGACACACTAGATAGAAGGATTTGTTTTGGATATTTATCGTCAGACCCTTATAGTTGGATTAGCAAAAGAAAATTGTATTATTTTGTTCCTATAAATGTGTTGGTGCACAAATAGGAACTGCAAGAAATAGGTGTAATTTGATAACAATCTGAATAGGATTAGCACTTATATATGTGTTGTCGGCTGGTTGCTCAATATTCTCATACAAGTACATGAACTATGAAGATATTGTCCTCAGATCAAGTACTTCATATATTTTTCATTTTTGAGAATGTATGAATTTTCCAGTGTATCCCAGAAGTATCTATTGTTTATTCATCTGAGTCCCAACTGTTGGATTGGGCTTTAAACAAAATAAATAATACCATGAACATTTGTGGAATACAGTTTATAATCCGTTAAAGCTATGAAGTCCACTGCTTGATTACAGTTAAAGCAGTTTGCTTATACAAATCTGACATTCCTTGCAGATATCTTTATCGATATATCCAGTCTTTAGAGCAAAATATCAAAGTTGAAACACTTGAAGGAATAAATGAGAAGATACGCAAGCGTTTGAAGAACCCAAAGCTGTCGAGTAGTAACTGCGCAAAAGTTCATAAGCATGTTTCTGCTGCTTGGTGTCGATCACTTGTAATTAGCATGGCTTTAATAACGCCGTTGCATTCAAGACTCTCCAGTGAAGTCCAAGGTCCAAATTCACCAGCTAATGGATTAGAGAACTCACAACTGCTTTGTATTGATCTCCAACTGGATGAATTATGGTGTTCATCTTTTGAAGACATGAATCATGTGAAGGATCTTGAGAGGAAGTGGAACCCGTCATTGTCTAAAATAAAAAATGTAATAGTAAAGAGAGCTGCAGATGAAGATCTGGAAACTGCTTCTATGCTGCTTAGGTCTTGCTATAATTTCTACAAGGACACATATTGTGCATTGCTCCCATCAGGTATAAACCTTTATATGGTGCCATCTCAATTTGCTACAGAAACATATATCCAACCTGGGATAGACGCGGTTGACATACTTGATATGAACACTTCACGGAAGCTAATTTTGTGGGCCTACACACTTCTGCATGGCCACTGCACAAGTGTTTCAGCTTCTATTAAGTACTGTGAAGAAAACTCCAAGGTATTACATCCATCCTTATTGAGTCCATGCAACATAATTCTATTTTTCTTTTAGCCTATCATACTAGTTCAGGATGCTTTTTCTTTGGCTATTAAGAGCATGTAGAAGACGGTTAAGGGGAAAAAAAAGACAATATAGATATGATCATTTCTCTACAACTGATGAGCTTGAATGCTGCTTTCCTTGCAGTCAAGGATAAAAAAAGGAAGTGCAAATGCATCTCCTGCCACAGCTTCCAATACAGGTGATCAACTAGTTTCATTATTTTTGTCAACGTTAGTAGTGGATGCATTTTTTTGTCCTCTCCGTGTTGATTCTTAACTCTGTTGTAGGTGGAGGAAAAGATGGCATGAGTAAAAGCTCTGAACCAGATGGTTCCCCATTATCAACTTTGGGCAATGCACCATATTCTGAGACCGACGGATCACAAAAAGGTACCCCTCCCAGTTTGCCAGAAACTGAGAAGGCAAGAGCTTCTTTCTCCAAAATGGGGGGCACAATGGATGCATTGTCAACATCTCTGCCTGAAGGAGAGAGCACGACTTCTCCAAATGCTGCAACTGCTGATAAGAGACAGAAGGTTTTATTGGTTGCTCCGCATTTAAACCATGACAATCCTGTTGTTGAAGTCAAGGAATTGGATATACAGAATGACACAGAACCTGGAAACATTTGATGTTGTACATTATATTTTAGCCATTATGTTTTGCTATTGTTGCCTTACAAGTCGTCTATTGTTGTATGTAAGCAGTTCCTTCTTTTCTTGGAGAGTTCTTGCTTTTCTTTTATCTGCTGTTTTGTTGGTGTCAAAAGGGATACAAATTGGGATTCTTATGCAATTTACAATTCAAATAAACAGTTTACACCTTGCATAGCCCTATAATTATTTATATCTGGACCAAGTTAATATATGTTTTGCATTGAATTTTCAATGTTACTTCTTTACATTCTCCCCCAATCTAATGGAGAACTCTCTTTATTTTTTCACCATCCATTTTTTAAATCTATATAACATCATGTATAACCATGTAATATATATATAGCGCGCGCACACACATTATACACTACATATACAACCTTCTACGCACTATATATACATTGCATAAATGATGTATCTGTTTTGTGTAATTTTGTACAAAAAGTGTATAAATAATGTATCCACACTATTATACACAAAATCAAGGATCAACTGGGTTATCTTCTTTAATTTTCCAGTTGCTCGAATCTGTTCAAACCAGTTCGAACCGTTACCAATCTAATTTCCGAAGTTCTTTATTCACAAATATCATTTGAATCCAAAGGCCAAATACCCCTCTAACTTGTTCCCAATTTTCGTTTTGACACTCCCATCTCAATATCATTTTAACCTTTCAATCCCATTGTCAATGTACCAATTCCATTTTCGTGCAACATTTTAACCTTTCAATCGCATTGTTAGTGTACCATTTAGTTTGTGTGAAAAAGAATAAAACTGTGGACGAACATCAATTTATTTATTTTTGGGAAAATGCATAAGTACCCCCCAGCCTATGCCCAAAATCCCTGAAACACACCTAACATTTACTAAGGTCCTATTACCCCCCCCCCCCCCCCCCCGAACTTATTTTTTAATTAATTTTTTACCACTTTTCGGCTTACGTGGCAATATAAACCAAATAGGTTGAAAGGTTTGTTCAACACGCGCCGGGCCCCACTTTTTCAACTTTCTGAAAAGTAGCTTTTACACTTCCCAAAATTTCAAAAAACTATCCTATTATTTATAATCTACTTTGTTAATATATTTTTAGTTAGTTTATAGATTTTAATGTTTATATATTTTATTTCAAATTTGGGCATGTAAAATTTTGTAAATATTATATATATAATTTTATTTTATTTATAGATAAAAAAATTTATTTATAATCTACTTTGTTAATATATTTTTAGTTAGTTTATAGTTTTCAATGTTTATATAAATTTGGGCTTGTAAAATTTTGTAAATATTATATATATAATTTTATTTTATTTATAGATAAAAAAATATTACTTATAATCTACTTTGTGAATATATGTTTAGTTAGTTTATAGCTTTCAATGTTTATATATTTTATTTCAAATTTGGGCTTGTAAAATTTTGTTAATAGTATATATATAATTTTATTTTATTTATAGATAAAAAATATTATAACTTTGTTAATATATTTTTAGTTAGTTTATATATTTTATTTCAAATTTGGGTTTGTAAATTTTGTAAATATTATATATATATATATATATTATTTTTTTATTTTGAAATTGCCATCATAAAGGTTTGTCACCCGATGTTAGGGGTCTGGCTAGACCCACGTCTTTCCCATTCATTCAATATAATTTTATTTTATTTATAGATTAAAAAATATTATAACTTTGTTAATATATTTTTAGTTAGTTTATAGTTTTCAATGTTAATATATTTTATTTCAAAAATATATATTTTGTACTCATGTGAATTTTACCGTCTTTACGAAAATTTCTATTCATTTAACGTTTCTTAAGTTTAGCTTATCACACAGGTAGGTGAAAATATATTTGATCTCTTTTTCAAACACCGTTAAGTTGTAAAAAACCGAAAAAAACCAAACAACCGAAAGAACAGACTAAAACCGAAACCGAAAAAATTGACTTTGCGTGGTTTTATTTGATATTTAGATTTAATAAACCGACATAATTGGTTTAGGTTTTTTTTAATGAAAAAACAAACCAAACCGACCTATGTACACCCCTACTTCTAAGTCATCAAGAATCGTGGTTGAGTTCAAAGGTTAGTTTTTTCTTGATTTTATTTTGTTAGCTTTTCGAAGAAAGGAACAATTTAACTTATGATAATGGAGGTTTTTTTTCAAACATGAAGAACAATAATAAAGAAGAAGACAATTGAGTTAATATTTATTTTTTCCAAGTTTATTTTAACACATGACCAATTTTTATTGGTCAGTGCTGTCTAAAAGCTGCACCAACGCGCCTAACATAGGTGAAATCACGGACTCAGCCACGTAGGCCGAAAAGTGGTAAACAATTAACTAAAAAATAAGTTCGGGGGGGTAATAGGACCTTAATAAAGGTTAGGTGTGTCTCAGGGATTTTGGGCATAGGCTGAGGGATACTTATGCATTTTCCCTTTATTTTTTAAAAAGGATAATTCTTTTTGTATAGTTTCTACACACTTTTACGTGAAAAATATCCAATGAAATCACGAGTGCGTTGATTTTCTTTTTAAAAAAACTCATGGACAGCCCAATAAAGTCTTATCAAATTTTAGCGTACTTTAGTATTATTATTAGCAATGAAAAAGAGCCTTTTTTACCAGTAATGGAGATGCGAATATTTAAGTTAAATCCACATTACGTGGTAGAGCAAGGAAATGCAGTCTATGAAATCAGATACGATTATGCTAGGATTCTGGTGATATTTACTATTGGCATATAAAAAGTTGTGTCACACTTCTAACGAATACAAACTAAGTGGCCAAATAAATAAAGATCAGGGGTTGTGGGATATGAAACGTACAGCACTACTACTCCAATCCAGATGGGGAACAATGTTTTGCAACCTAGACTACTGTGTAATTTGCAAGACAAAATATTTACAGTATGGGGTGAACACTTTCACTACCAAAATTGGACTCCCAAAATTATGGTGCAGACTCATGAACATAGATCGTGAATAATTCAGTGTAATATCAAAACCCGATTGGGAAGCTCTTGCAGAAAAACACCAGAAGGGAACAGTTGGAACTTAGCCAATCAGTTAAAAGCTGATATTTTGCATCCCTCACCAGTTCTGCAACTGCGAAGTGATACTTTTCACTACAGGATGATATTCAGTATGCAGGTACCTCTTTGCTTTCTCTGAACCAGGCTGTTCAAGCCACTCACTGTATAGTCCCTTTATGATGGGATTGTTGAAAGGATCAGCAACCACAACCTGAAACATTAACAAAGAGCATTCGGAGGCAATTCAGTTTCATAAGATCAGCAAGTTGAAGTGCAAGGAAAACAAAGAGTTCCCATGTCAATCATGCATGGCTTTGCAACTTCTAAAGAGTAGACCATTTTCGTTCATTTGAATCTGCTTCAGAGATGAATGTTCATAAACTTCATCATCTCGTAATGCAGAGGAAAAATAGAAGCCAAAACAAGCAGGTCTTTATGACATATTAAATCCCCAGTTGGGGAGACACTCGAACAAATCAGAACAAAAGTGAACTTCCATTTCAACATGTTCATCTTTGACTACTACAGTAGTCAGAGATGAATCTCCCAAGCTCTGCAATTCAAGTTACACATTGTACATTTCCCAGACATGCCACAAATTATACGCAAAGCCTTCAAGTTGGAGAGGAAATTCCTACAGTCCAAGATGGTTATATTATGACAAACTCTATCAAACATGTGACTTACATTTTCTACATAAGCCGTCTCCAACAGCTGAATCAACTCTTTCCCCGACTGCCCAGGTTGTGGCTTTATTTGTCCGCCGCCATTTAAGCATCCTATAATCATGAGGGAGGCAATTAAAGACATACAAACTGTTAATTGATGCAAGGAGGCTCGGAGCTATTATTCACAAATAGAAAGATCCAGCATGTCAACCTGAAGGGCATGCCATGATCTCCAAGAAATGGTAGTCGCACTTCCCCATTTTCAATTTCCTAACAACATTCTGCAGGTTCCGGAAACCATAACATAATGCAAATTTCAGGACAGATTTATCATTCACCTGTGTTCAATGCAATAGACATCTTGTCAGTAGTTGTCAATGGCCTACTACTCTTTTGTGCCAATTGCTACAAACTTAGGACCCGTTTAGCATGAGAATTATTCATTTTTCAGGAAATCTTTTCACTTTATTTGAAAATCAGCATCTGACCATGCAAATTCTAAATACAACTCCAAAACACCGTTTTCACTTTCAGTTTTGGACCGTTGCATTTATTTTTCTTCTTTCAAGAGGGGTTTTTCTACTTTTTTTAGCAAGGACTCGAGCAGCTTTTGAAGATTTCAACCCGAGTTTGACTCATTCATTGTCTGTTAGTTGCCTTTTCATTCATTTCTAGCATGAGTAGCTACAGACTCAGCTATGGTCATAGACCCAAATGGTTTGCAAGTTAATGGGTTATTAACTGTTCGTCATTAATTGCTTGAGTTATGATTATCTAATCGATTCCATGCCTTACTAGGCAACTTAGTGGTGTTCAACATGAGATTAAGACCTAATTATCATAGTTCTGACTTGAGAAGGTGGAGTTAGGACTAGGTAAGAATTAATAAGCAAGGAATTGGGTTTTATAAGGGATTATATAACTCAGTTAACAGAATCAAGCTAGAAATAGCTAGACTCTAACTTGGGTGTTCAACCATTAGAACTTTAAACATTCCATTAGGTTCTGGTGGACTTAATTGGGGTAGGGCCATTACTATTATGAGATTCTTTGAGAAAGTTAACATTACTATTATGAGATTTTAATGGGTAAATTATAATTGAATCATAATCAATAAGCCAAGCAATTAGACAAGATAAGTATTTCCCATTAGCTAAAGCAAATCAACTAGGGGCTATAATCCTAGTACCTTTTATCACTTGATTTACACTCTCGTTAGTTATTTGTTTGCTTTTAATTCTATTGTTATTTTTAGTTAAATTCAAAACCCAAACAAATGTTGCAAGTCCAATCAAAGATCTTTCTAACTACAAGTAATCAACCAAACACCTCTTATTTACTCCTTGTGGGATTCGACTGACTCTCATCCAATTATATTTGCATTTTCAAGTGCTTAGCCTATTTAGGACTTGATTGGGCTACACCATCCACCACCAAGTACAATAAACTTTGACATGAGCCATCAAATTAGCAGCTCCACAATTGACCAAACACCATATCATACCCTTGTTAACAGATAGAAACCCTTAAATTATAGATACAATTGTCCACGCACAAGAAGATTTCGCAGTGTCAGCATACAGGTACTTGGATTATAGAACATTATAGGGGCATATTAACAACATTCTATAAAATCATGCTTCTAGGAGAATGCAGAAGAAAACTTACTTCTAGGCTCACTTCTTGGAAATCAGAATTCCTTATAGTCTTGAATGCTAAAGGCCCTTCAACTTCTTGACCTAAAAGCACTTTTGCAACATGACGATAAATGGTCTCTGCATATCCTCCAGAGCTTCCATGAACGCCATAAAGATGGCCCTCCTCATCAATATTTGTGAACCTTTAAAGTACATATAAGCAATCAAATGTAAGGATTTGCATCAAGAAATGAGAATATCAATGCAAGGTGTATAAAAGTGCTTACAATTTATCTAGGGGGGACTCTTCCAAGGATTGAAAATCAACTGCTTTTAACTACATCAAAGAGGAGAGAGATTGACTATAAGTAAACAACAGAGAGAAATGAGAAAAATTGCAAATATTCCAAATGCAAGCTATCTCACATTATTGCTCTGCGGGAATGGAATACTGAGAAGCAGAGAACTCTCTTACCTGTATCAAATCCAAAACCTCTCCTGTTGTCAAAACTGAATCAACCTCCGTAATTTTTTCACTATCTGTATCCACTTGAAACACAAAATCCTCACGAGCAGCCTCGAGCTTCTTGTCATAACATGGCATTACAGTCACATGGTATATATCTTCTGGTCTGTTATAAAAAAGCTCTATCAAGCACCAATCGACTGTGACCAGGTCCAAAAACTAACAGCTTAATTTTAGGAACATTATAAAACCTTTTAACTTTTCACCAACTAACATGCAACATCACATATGTTGAAATATCAAACGGCCAGAATGAATTTGCTCTGTAATTTTTTTTTTCTAGTAGGATGCATAAAATGGATGGGGAAACACAACAGAAAGATAACGTGATTGCTTAGCGCATATTTGCAATAAAACGACTTATGCATAATGCTTGGGACAGTCCAACAACAAAAGAAATGGAAGATTACAGTTTACAGCTAATGCATAATGCTTAAAAAGATGAGATGGCAATAAGCTACCTTACACTTAGCTTTGGCCATATAAAATTCTTGACGACTGCACCAATAGTTTGTTGGGGGCTCTTGACTGAAGAAATGTATGGAAGAATGTAAGAACCAAGGGTCTTCTCAGCATAACATATCCAACCTACAATTTCAACACCAACACCAGTAGAGTTAGAACATTCATAGAACACCAAGTAAGAAATTAAGAAAAATACCAAAGCAAATTAAGCCATTACCTGGACATGCGGAAGAAATCATAGGTAAAGGTGGCTTTGACTCACCACTACTAGTACATTGGGATTGCTTATATCGCACCATAAACTCGTTACAAGATTCTATTAGGGTCAAGTCTCTACTGCAGCTGGTATCAAATATAGCTTTCACACCCAGAGACTTAAAAAGTGTTGTGAGCTTCCTGAAAACCTGACATAAGAAGTACAAGCTCATTATTTTCAAACATATGCAAATGCTTCGCAATACTTCTTTTTTTCAACTTTGCCGAAAGGCAGGAAAACAAACGCCATTGACCCCCACCCCCCCAAACAACCCCCAAAAAATATATGTTTTTTAAGAGCAAAAAGATGGAAGTAATATTTACATCGGTCATATCAGGTGAGAAGATATACTGCAGACAGTAAACTACAAATATGAAAATACCAGCACCAAAACCAACCTGAAGTGAAGAAAGTCCATAATGAACAGCGAGAGCGGCCCTAGACTGGGGGGAGAGAGAGACAATAACCGTCCTTCCCTTTTCCAAATTGGAAAGGAACTCATCTAAGCTCTGCTTCTCAAGCATGACTGTTTCTGCTGATGTAATGCACCCACTGCAATCAGGGAACAAGCTCAGTTGCTCACCGTTGTTAAATCATACATATAGAGAGAGGCATTTGTTTTTAGTTTCCCAAGCAACAAAATTCAAATACAAAGTAAAACTAAATAAAATTAATAGCCTATCAAGTAACATTTTTATGAGTAACTTATAGGAGCTGAACTCACAGCAAACAAGGACCAGCGCAGGAGTTCTAATATATACACAAACATTGCACACAATTCCTTATAAACAAAACAATTAAAAGATTCAGGTTATTTGAATCGTCAGTCGATATATAGCCAGAGCCAGTGTTGTTAAAGGGTCACTTAAAGCACGCTTAAGCCCCGAAGCTTGGTGAAGCCAAGTTGTGCACTTTGTCTCACATAGCTCTTTAGCGTAGCATCAAGGTACTAAGGCTAACGTGTTTTCACAGACTTAAGTAGCACAACACTAGTTAATATATATATATATATAGTTGATACAATGATACCTTAGTTGTTAAGAAAACGATGTGGTTGAAATTTAATTAATTAAGAAATTAGAAATTTAGTATCAGCTAACTGGCCACTAAAAACCTAAAATTACATCTTTTATTCTAAATCCAATATTTATAGTAGACTTTGGACTTGATTGACATGATTTTAACTGCATTAGATTAATTATTGGTTTACACTCCTTTGTCCAGATAATTATTGGTTGCCTAGAATGCTATATCCTAGCAAGAGAAAAGAGATAATACCTGCAAGCCAAGCAATCTTTGAGAGAAATTTTGACGGGTTCTGTTTGTACTGGTTTGCTCAAAGCTCCAGCTTTTCCCACATTCTGGTCATCCGCCAAGTAAAGCATTAATAACATTAGTTAGAGCACTAGTTCTTCAACCGCAACAAACCAATTGCAGTCCAAAGAGATACAAGTCAATTTTCACTCTCACCCTTGCGCAAAATTCATTATTTAACCATAAAGGTTCCTCTTCACCCCCAAATCCTACAAGTCTAAATTCAAATTAACATGAACAAAATCCATGTCTAAGAGCTCAAATGCATTTTTTACCCTACACCGAAAACCTCAAAAATAAGAAATTACATTACTTCATGCTGATTCATCAAAGGAAATATGTCAAAGCCTTCCATGAAAAATAAAACCCTAACCTTCAAAAAAAAAAAAAAGTATACCTCGGATTTGTTGATTCTATTAGAATTAGCTTTGAGGGAAACTACACAGCCCTGTGAGGGAGCTATGTAATCATTCAAATCCCCAATTCTGAGTGTGGCAGAGAATTTCTGCGACATCCCTTTTATCAGATGAAGAAAAACTCCTTTTGAGCTCGCAAGATTTCTGTATTAATAAATTGTCCTCAAAAATGAAGGAAGAGCTTAATCTTGAACTTGTTTTGCGATCCCAACTAACATCCCTCGATATCTCTCACTTCCCCTTTTTCTCTCCAATTACGGCTGGAGATGGCGGCAGCCAGGCGGGTGGTGCCGTGCGAGTTCAATCTTGATCGGCCTAAATTGATTATTTGGGGGTAATGATATTTACCTTTAAAAAGTTACTTGAGCTAATTGAGGTGTGAGTGACAAAAAAGTCTTAAAATTAAAATTGGTGACAAAAAAATTGACCAAGTCAAACCTTTTCTTAATTAGTGATTAAGATAATTAGGGACTAAAGTGTAATATTTAAAACTTCTAAACTTTTAAAAACATTCAAATAAACTCATTCCAATTGTCTTTCTTTTTCTTTGCAACAGCAGCTTGAAGCCCATTTCTTTCTTCCTTGCAACAGCCTGTAAGCAGAGAGGGACGACATTGTTGCGAAAATATTGTTGGTGACTTCCAATACCTTCGTCTTGGTCTTCTTCGTCATAGCCGTCTTCTACCTCAAGGTAACACTCTTTTCTTTTCTTTCATTGTTAAGGTTTTGAGATGGTAAAGATTGAAATTTCATTGGGTTTTATTATGCCTTCTTTGTTTTTAGCATATGGAAGTTTGTGGGTTTAACGATTTTGCTTGGTAGGGTTTTCTTGGGGAAAAAAATGTGGGTCTTTTACACAAGATTTGTGTGCTTTCATTGATCCTTCTATTGTTTTTTGTTTGTTATCTATGTGGAGTTGCTCTTATCTTCTTCTATGTGTGATTGATGGCTCTTTAATGTTTGCATTTTAATGTTTTGCCCTGTTTTAGGTTCTTGTTTCCTGTAGAAAAAAAGAATTTGGTTGCTTTTGAGGTAAATGTTTGAGACATTAGAGGTGTCTTTTTTGGACCTTTAATTGTTGCTCATCTTATGGAGAATGTTGTTCTTAGAGATCATTTATTTTTATTAGTCTTAAGTTAGTTTGATCATTGGTTGTATTATAGTTACTAGTAACATATTCATTTTTTTCAAGCTTATGGTTTTGTTCATGATTTAAGAGGAGAAGTGTAGTATGGTTTTGTCACTTCCTGATGTTGTTGTTACCTTATTTTATAGCATGCTTTGTATACAACAACAATAATTATTATACCTCAATCCCAAACAAGATGGCATATAGATGATTTGCATATATACTTCAAATAACATACATGCATCCAGCCAAATTTTGATGATATATTTATAATTGTTTACCCTATTTCTTTATGTGGTTTTGAAACTAACTTTCAAAATTATCTAAATGATAATGAATTGTCTTTTTTTATTATTACATTTTGATTTTATTGTTTTTATATATAGATTATGCATCCATGACTCCAAGGAAAAAACGAACAATTCCTATTAAAACGTATGAAAGGCGAATCAGAACACAAAGACAAAGAGAAGAACTAGAAAACACAAATTTGAAAAAATCTATAGAAGAAGAAGGAGAACATGAAATAGATGTTTCTTCTACAAATGTAGAAAGAGATAATAGAGCAGTTAAGGAGGAACAAAATGATATAGCCATTCCAGAAAAGGAGACATCTCCTATTGTTGAATTATCTCCGCTCAGTCCTTCACCCGATAACTTTATTGTGAAGTCGATTAGGTATGCAAATTACAATTTGGAGTCAATGATTGATAAGTATCCAAACTTAAGAGGTTCTTTAACTGTTAAGTCGGAGTTACGTAAGTTTTCTAAATTTAGAACGATTTTAGAAGAACAAAAATTGGTAAAGTTCTTTCGATCTTCTATTTTCGGAAATTACTTACAACTTGAAGGTACTCGTATAAGATTTCAAATGAGTTTAGTCTATCAACTTCTTCGACGTCAAATTTATAGCCATCGAAAAGAAGAAATTTGGATAAATTATAGTGGCATGCTCATTTGTTTTGGAATGAAGGAGTTTGCTATCATCACCGGCTTAAATTGCCATAATGAAGATGTGTATGATGTTGAAAATATGTCAACTAAGACAAAAATGAGACGAAAAGAAATTCTTGAGGTTGTGGGAAGGAGTTGCAAGAGAAATGAGTTGATTGAACATCTCCAAACCAAAAATCTTAGTAAAGATGTAAAAAAATCATTGTGTTTACTTTATTTTCTTCATAGCTTTCTTTGCCCAAAAGATGTGAATACAAATATTCCAAAGAAGTGGATTTTGCTCTCGGCCGATAGAAAAGCATTTTCTGCTTATCCATGGGGTCATATTAGCTATGATATTACAATTAAGCATCTATTGAAAGCGGTGAAGACTATTGATGGGAAGACTACCAATCTTTATGGCTTTCCATGGGCCTTTATGGTAAATTTTATTTTAGTTTAGTTCATATATATATTTATTTCATTATTTTTTGGTGCTTCCAATATTTTGATCTCCTTTTGTGATTATTTTATGTAGTGTTGGGCATTTGAGGTTGTTCCTTTTCTCCAAAAGAAATATAAGGTGTTTTCGAAACAAGTGTCTTCACCGAGGATTTTTCGATGGCTTTTGGCGACTAATAACGAATTAGTTGACATTAATGAGTTGTTTGATCCCCCTCAAGACTCGGTAAGTATTATTCTTTAAATATTTTTAGTTAAAGTGAAATTGTTGTTGCTTTTCTGATTTTGTTGTAGCCTTTTCAACAAGTGTTTTCTTTGTTTAATTAGTTGATGTCAATTGTTGAAGTTATTACAACAATTGCTGGAACAATTAGAACAATTGGTATATAATAATCTTGAAATGCAACAATTGCTTTATCACATTTTAATTATTATTATTTTTACATGTAGATTGTGCATCCATGGATAATTCCTACATCTAGTGAAATGGAAATGGAATTTTTCACTAAGTTTGTGCCTAAGAAATTAACCAAGGATGATAAGATTGAAAAGCTTGAGATAGATTTGAATGGTGTTGTGGCTATAAAAGAGACATCATAATTGATGAGCATAATCTTGATGTAGGAGGTGGAGGAGCATCTTCTCCAATTTTGAGAGAGTTTTTAGTGGTGTTGGTGATGGAGGAGGAGGAGAATTTACTCCAAATGTTGATAGATGTACTGATGGTGTTGATTTCGAAAGAGGAGGAGACTTCGGTGATATTAGTGGTGGTTTTGGAGTAGGAACATCTTCTCCAATCGATGAGAATGTTCCTTGTCTTCAAGAAACTCCATCCACTAAGGAGACGATAGATTTATTGAATGTCAGGGTAGAGTCTTTAGAGAAAACTATCGTCACCATGAATGCTAAAATTGAGTCTTTAGAGAAAGCTATCGTCACCATGAAGTCTAAGAGAGGTATTAGGCCATCATCAAAGATTTCTCATCCATATACTCCCGACTATGTTAAAAGAACAAAGAGACAAATTTCGAAGGCATTGTCAAGTGCTAGAAAAAAGAAAAAGGGGAAAAGTGAATGAGACCATTATCGAAAAAGAATTGGTGTCCGGAGATAGTAAAGGTAAAATTATATTCTAATCATCTTTCTAAGATTTGCCTTGTGTTATATATATTTCATTTTTACATGTGAAATTCATTTTTTTAATATTACAGATGAAGGGGCTGATATTGCAGATGAAGAGGCTGATTCGAATTCAAAAAGAAGTTGAAAGAGTGATGAAGAAGGGGCTGCTTGTGAATATGCATCCACTATTTTGCTACACTTTTAATTCACTTTTGTTGTACATTAGTGAATATGGTATTTTGAATTTAATGAAGAAGGGGCTGCTTGTGAATATGCATTTTTATCACTATTTTGCTACACTTTTAATTCACTTTTGTTGTACATTAGTGAATATGGTATTTTGAATTTGATGAATTGAAGGGGCTGCTTGTAGGTATGCATTTTTACCACTATTTTGCTACACTTTTTAATTCACTTTTGTTGTACATTAGTAAATATGGTATTTTGAAATTGATGAATTGAAGGGGCTGCTTGTGGATATGCATTTTTATCACTATTTTGCTACACTTTTAATTCACTTTTGTTATACATTAGTGAATGTGGTATTTTAAATTTGATGAATTGATATTTTAATCGGAAAAAAAATTTGTGATGTTAGTGAACTAGTTGAAGGTGAGGATTTGACTCATCCAATTGTTGAAATTCTCTACAGCAATTAAATAAGTTGTTGTATTTTTTACAGCAATTGCTGAAATTCTCTACAGCAATTAAGCAAATTGTTGTACTTTTCATAGCAATTGCTACAATTTTCTACAGCAATTAAACGAGTTGTTGTATTGTTTTACAACAATTGCTTAAATTTCTACAACAAGCACGAAAATTATTGTACTTTTCATAGCAATTGCTGAACTTTTCTACAGCAAGTAAGAAAATTGTTGTACTTTATATAACAATTGCTAAAATTTTCTTTAACAAGTAAGCAAATTAATTGACTAATTGATTGTTTATTGGTTGTAACACTCATATTTAATGATAAATAAAGTAGTGTTGATTTAATTTAAAAATAAAATTTATATTAGATAGTGATCTTGTATAATGAGATAGTTATTTGAGATACCAGACGATCAATTCCATTACAATTTCACATGTTATCGATTTATAATGAGTAATTGATTGTTTATTGGTTGTAACACTCTTATTTAATGATAAATAGAGTAGTGATGATTAAATTTAAAAATAAAATTTATATTAGATAGTGATCTTGTATAATAAGATAGTTATCTGAGATACCAGACGATTAATTAAGTAATTTCACATGTAATCAACTTAAATTGATAAATTGATTGTTAATTAGTTATATTAATCATATTCCATGATAAATAGGATAGTTTTGACTAATTTTAAAAGAAAATCTAGAATAGGTAGTAATTTTATTTGAATATGCTATAACAAATAAGTAAATTGTTGTACTTTTCATAACAATTGCTACAATTCTCTATAGCAATTAAACGAGTTGTTGTATTGTTTTACAACAATTGCTTAAATTTCGAAGCGCTGCCATAGCACGTGGACAAGGTATTTTGTCAATGTCAAAGACTTTACAAGTACAAGATTTGGCTAGCAAATCAACTGTTGCAACTTCATCTTGACCGGTGACAATATACTTGTAGTTGGCAGTTTGATGGACCAATAGCTTGTTCCCCAAATTAATATTTTTTGCAATGTCTTTTTCTATCGAAGGGACGAAGATGGTTGGTGCA